CCTCAGGACTACTGCTTGCTTGCTGCTTAGATGCAGCCTATAGGGATCCTAAGCAGAGATGTCTATAGTGGCTTCTGTCCTCCGCTGTTCCTCCTAGCCCTTCCGTTTCTCCTTACTGCTATTTGTTTAGCAACTGCTAACCTGCCACAGTTTTGGGTAGAATATTAGGATAATTGGCACTGATTTAAAGTGCGAAGCTGTCAACTGAAATGATGCATACCAGGAGCCAGAGCAGAAGCTGCTAAGGTGCTGCAGCAGCTGTGGGGCAGGAATCTTTGCTGTTCGTCCCACAGCAGCTGACCCATGCAGCAGGGATGGGAACATTTTAAGAAAGGAAGGGAGCAGATAGCTGGGGCAAGCATCTCATTGACATTTCTGTCTCCCCATTTGAAAATAGAACTAATCAAGCTAGCAGGAGTTTTAAGGGTGGAAAGCACTATGTTAAAGACAGCGATCTCTATAGAACCTCAGATAAATGCGGCATACAGGCTGGGAGTAGGAAAAGGTTAACGGTGAAGTCACTAGCAAAAATAAGGTCATACTGTGTCTTAAATTTCTCATATGTGGGCTTTCAAGGTTCCAATATACAATATTTGTCTCTTTTTCTGCTTGTTTTTCCCTCATTGGCTCAGTGTGCCTATGTGCATGAAACTTTAAAAGCCGTGTAGGAGTCAGAGGAAGGCAGTAGGGAGGGATGGGAAGGCGAGACTCATACTTTGTAGATATTAATGAAATTCTTCTATATTACAATTCCAGCAATAAAGATGATGGTTATCTCGCTTCTGTTGCCTGGCACAGTGCGTTCTGTGGTGTACAGAGTGAAAAATGGCCCTCTAGAGGAACTGGGCACAGCTCATCCACAGCCTCGATTATTGTGCAGAATATTGCGTATCCTCCCGTGTGGCATTGTAACTCAGTGTTCCTGTTTTGACTGCACATCACCTGGGCTTTTCTGTTATACTTTTCCCACCCGCCACTCGCCATCTGCCCGAGAGTAGGTCTCACACGTTGGAAAGCAACATGAGAAAGGGTGCCACCTCCTCCTTAGCATATTAGTGAAAGCTGAGCAGGGAAACTAATTTTAAGCCATGTGGGGAATAATTGCTCCCTGCTGTCTCTTTTCATCCACTACGGTTTGTGACCCACTTGTGCTCTGGCGTGCGGACCAGGAGAGGCAGAGGATGGGAGGGCGGACTGTGAAAGTCTTTGTGCCCGGTTCCCTGAACTCAGCTGCTGAGCGGCTGAGAGAGCGGCTGCTGAGCGGTTTACAGTTTTCGGCTCTTGCGGGGGGTTTGATACCAAAGGGCAACATCTGCTCTCCTGCAGAAGAGCAGAGTTAAGGGTGTCAGAGTGTGCAGCATGCATGGCCTGTACTGCTAGTGTGTGCAGCTATACATCGATAGCCAGAGCATCCACCACAGCCTGCTGTTTGGTGTCATCTTCTCAATCTACAGGAGCTCGAATTAGCTACGTGGGTTACGCGGACAGTTGCACCTTCAATAATGGGCAGAAATAGAGAGACTCGGCTTTAGCTGTGCTACAAGCGCTGCCCAGAAGAAAGCCGCTGGATTCCCCGTGCCTGGAGTGTGCTGAGGAACAGACACATCTGGTTATGGGCTGTACCCAGCAAAAACACTGCTCTGCTTTCCATGCAGCGCAAATCCCATCCAGGCCACAAACACCATTTCCCAGCTTTTTCTTTAAAAGGGATTTGAGTGATGAAAGTGAAATTCTGTATGAACTGTCTAAAAGCAGACGTTGCAGGATGTATAAAGTAAAGATAACTGGCTTAACATCCCCGTTGCATCAGAATATAATCTCCTACTAAGCTGAAATTACTCTTGGTCTTAGTTTACTGTCCCTGGCAACTTCTACATCAGTGAAATTCATTCAAATAGGAAAATGCATACATTAATTTTCTCAGTTTTTCAGAGGTTCTCTCTACCCAGGTATCTGCCCTGCTAGGGCACAAGGCCTGGAGTGGACACATGGGGGAAATTTTGAGGGAGTCTTTGCTAATGTCCGTATTACACATCGCTGTTGAGACATATTCAGAGGGTCCAGAAATAGGATATATCCTTTCGCAGCTCAGCTGGTATATTAATGAAGAGGGATCCAAACAGAAGTCTATTTTCTTGTAAAAATCTATTAGTAGTCTCTTGTTAGAGGCAAAAGACATTGTGAATCTAGTTCAATCAATATTTTATTTTGGATGCCATCTTGTGTAGTAGATGCCACAGACAGAGAGAGCTTTCCTGGCTTACTTCCAGATGTTAAAATTAAGGGAAAACATGTATGTGCACAGAATAGTGTCAGAAGTTGCCAGATCACAAGCCGAAAACTGAACATTTTTAACAATCCTCTCCTCAGTTAAAAGCAAATATTTTACTTCAGCTCTGTGCTAACGTGCTTCGTTCTTTGAGAAGCAAATTGCAATGTTGCTGGAATATGCTTTTTGTTTCAAAGGAGGACATGGTTGAGTGGTCATAACACGGGCCTCGTAATGTGCATATCTATCTTCTTTTACCCACCCTACCACTGATTTTTGTCCTGTTACTTCACTTTTCTGTGCCCCATCCTTAACTAAACTAAGACTTTATGGGATATTTAAAGCAATATAACCCTAAACAGCTATGTATGTGCAACAAATGTGCATATTGCTACTTGTATGAAACTAACATCGCAATGAGTTTTAACAGTAGATTTAGTTTTCCTGCTCACCTTCCAAACGGCAGAATGATCTGCGACATTAATGGGCCACTACTGATTTGCTCCCAAGACACCTACCTTAATCTTCTGGTTTTGCTTTCGCATTCAATGCCGATATGTCCTTTATTCACTCGCTGTGTACACAAGTGCCTGCAAACAGCTGCAGCATTTTTCCTGTGTCTAGAGACTTTGCTACTTCTGTATTATGGAAAAACTCAAATTTCCATCAGTGATAACGGTCAGGTTCCACTCAGAGGTCATTTTGATGCATTTCAATTTTTCCTTGCTAAAGGAAAATATTTACTTGTTTATTATCAGCTGTAAAGTCAAGGTTTTACTGTTCACAGAAACAAATGACTTATTATCAATGCATTCCTTTTTTCCAAAGCCGGAGGAAAACTACTTGTAATGGAAATTAGCAATGACTATTACCAAAGAGGGGAACAAAATGTTTCCTTTCTATTATCTGTCCTATTAATAGTTACAAAGAAATGTCAGGTGACAAAGTAGAAAAAGTAGATAACATCGAGTCTTTTTTCGAATCTTATTTATTCCCTAATAATGATGAACCATAAGGGACCCTAATTATGCAGTTACATGCCTTAAATAGTCTGGCTATTGTAGATAATTACATTTGCAACATGCCTTGAAAGTGTCAGCAGTGTTATGGTGCCGATGCCAAGCTGAATTTCTTTTTTGTTTACTGTTTCCATACAAAGGCTGCGATACCTTTCTGTCCGAAAATGTGAAACATATTTCTCAAGTGTAAGTAGTGATAACATCAAATTCTAGACTTTAAGGTCATGTATGCTTCAGATTTTGTTACTGTCTGTCCTCACATTTTATTAAACTGAGGAAACAGAAAAGAGGAGGGTTTTCATATGCATCACCCAAAATGGAGCCAGTTTGTCCACCAGTTGTACCTGAAGAACTTCGTGTATTCAACAAAATTACATTTTGTAAGCAGGATACTTCACTGATCTGAGGTTTGCACTCCAGACTTAGCCATTTCCATCCCAACAATTAGCCTAAACAATAAATATGAGTTTTAATGATATTATTTTGAGCATGGCAGAACAGTGATTTGTTAATTCAATGTTGCGTTGCTGGAAAGCTCCTATGCCTTTTTTATTGTGGAGAGGATGGATGTACTAATGCCTGAAAATTTAAGCAAACTTTTCCTTCCAGTTTTAGATTTCTCTCCAAACTCCCTTGAATGTTTATCCATTTTTATAGCTTGAAATTATAGCAATTGTATAGCAATTGTTGAATTGTACTTCCTATTTTGCTCATTTCACTGACAGAAATCTTTTGCCATTTAATCCATCTATATTGTAGAAAAATATCTGGCACTGCCAAGTATAATACAGAACTCAGAAATATAATATATAATAAATGTCAAAGTGCATAAAAGCCTTAGGATTTCAGCAGAAATACAGTGGTATACAAAGAGAGGTTCATCTGCTCAGCTCTTCAACTGCTTCTCAGATTATATTTTTTATTAATACTAGGAGTTGGTAAGAGTCAAATTACCTTCTTATACAAAGGCAGTTTTTAAGGAAAAAAATTATTTCATGTTCTTTCAAAAGTTCCCCTTGTTGATTGTACTTGTAGGGAATTGAAAGATGCATCCTTCAGGAAATGCCCCTTTATTTGGCTCTCTGATGGTGGCAGGTAGGGACTAAAAATATTTATAAGTTGAAACTCAGACCTAACTTCACCACCTCAAACTTCCAGTCAATTCAGATCAGGTTCTAGTCTGCTCTTTTGTGGCTTATCCAAAAGATATGCGTGAAACTGCTGGATCAGTATGAGACTCTGCACCATCTGTTTTATTACAGCCAGCAGCATTAGAAAGAGGTCATAATGCATATATATATGTCTCATAAGTCAGGGAGAAGAGCAGATGCAATATTTTTCCCATGTATTTTTCTTCCATGTGGTGCTTTTTCTCATTGCACCAAATGACTGTAGGTGAAAGAAAGCCACAGCATTGCAGTGAAAGCCAGGGAGATCTAAAGGCCACCACATTCCCGCTGTCATGATGATGGTGCTTAGTCACCAGATTTGCTATCCCAACTAAAGTGCTTCCTTGTTCTGTCCCTATTCACTTATTCAACCCATTAAGCAAACCAATGCGAGAGGCTGCACATCAGTATTCAAGACACACCGTTACATGAGGAATCGGGAAAGGGTGCTTGCCTTGTTCCCTTTTAAATAGGATTGAAATTGCTGGGTATCTTGTTCTCACAGAGCCCTTTTTGTCAAGGGGTTTCAAAGGATTTCACAAATTAACTGCATTTAGCAGGTGTGAAAAGTCCAGCGCACGGAAAAGTGAAAGACTAGCCAACAGCCGAGCCAAGAATAGAGCCTGCTCTTGCTTTTTCCACCAGACCACTCTACCTCTCACAAACGTCACACTGCAAGGTTACTTTTCTTGCCAGGAGCTGTAAGAAGGAATTTTTTTCCACCAAGTAAGCAACAGTGGGGCAGCAAGGGCTTTCTTAGGCCCCACACTAGCCTCCTCTTGCCCCTCCCGGATCGCCGATGGAGATGTCTGGGCATGAACTAGCGGAGCAGGGGGCCTTTGAGGTGAGTGGGGAGCCTGTGCCTCCCAAAACTGTGTCTCAGGCTTCCTGCTTACCCAAGCAGGCATCTCTGTGAGTCGCACTGCAGGCAGAATTGTGTTCAGGACCATGCGACTTGGATGCTGTGATTCTCTTCTGAGTGGATCTGATGAATTTGCAATGGGGGGACCTGGGACAGGTCATGCTTGGCAAGCACTCTATGAGGCCAAAGGCCGAATGACTCAAGGAAGCTATTAATAGTCTCCATTGAGGAGCTTATTGCCTTAATAACATGGATCATTAATTTGGCTTTTTAATCATTAAGAAAATACCTGTGTTTGAGGGAATGTTTGGGTCAAAGTCAGACGTAACAAGTTGTTCTGTTTTTCTTTCTCCTGTTGTGTTTGTTAGCTGTTAACTAAGCCATGAAGCTCTTAACTAACCTCTTCTTGATAATTTAAAGCTGATCGAATGATTATATTTGTATGTATACAAATCAGGATGCTGTTAAGTCATTATTTTGAGTTGTATTGCTTTCTGAGTAGTTTTTGTTTGTTTGTGAATAATCTGGAGCAATAAAACACATAATATAAACATATTAAAGGAAGTGTTATGGGGATTTACTCAAGGCATTTATCCTGTCTGAATACCAGTTCCTAAAGAAATTATGAAGAAATAAGTGGAATTTATTTTTGATGCTAATTTTCATTGTTATCTCCCTTTTAAAAATGTTCACTGCGCTATTAGGGCATCTTCCCCTCGAGTCCTCTCTCTCTCTACAGTGCCAGAAGGCATTTCTGTAGTGCTCCTGTACTCAGTGCCATTTTCCTTTTGTTCTGCCTTCTAAAATTCAAACGTGCTAAAATAAGCAGCTCCCAGCATTGTCTCTGATTCAGAAAGGATATAAGCAGGGCATCATGCAATACTGAGGGGAGATGAAAGATTCAAGGTAGCCTATAGATGAGTTAAAGACAGGAGGTGCAATGCTGGCAGTGTTTAGGTCACCACCTCCCCCTGCCTCCCATGCAATGGACAACTGGATAATAAATTAGCATAGGAGGCTAACCTAGATCCTTATTCCGTCTTAGATGCAGGTGATTGTCCAAGAGTCATCAGTGACAGAAGGATTTACAGCTCTTTCCAGAGATATGTGTGCAGCAGCCGTGGTGCTTTGTCTACCAGCCAGACCAGCAGCCCAGGCAGCTGAGCCAGAGGAGCCAGGACTTCCTCAGCAGCTTCAGCAAGCCTGCTGCTTCCAGCAGCGCTGTGTAGGAAACGGTGACTGTGCTCCTTTTCTTGTCGGTTGTGAGTGCGTACTGCATCAGAAGAAGTACAAATGGCACCTGTCTATTCCCAGGTGAGATGCCGCCCATGAGAGGATGCCTCCTTGGGGACCCTCCCTGCTTTCTCCCGAGGTACGAGCGCCTTTTACCTGCTTGTCTTCCCCAGCAGGCTGCCAACACCATGGCCTACCATGGCCTGCTTCGTACCTGGATCCCAGCCTGTTCCACCTGCAAAGCTCTTGGCTGTGCCAGATTGTAAAATGTCTTCCTTGAATATTGAGCCCTGCGTGGCTTTCTCAAAAAGAGCATTCTGCATTTCAGTAACTGAGGTTTTTAATGCAGAAAAATCAGTGCCAGGTGGTTAGGTTCAGAGCCTTTTAATGTTGTGTTCATTAAAATCTCATCGCGGTAGATTTTTTTCAGTAAAATCTTTGAAAAGCTTTTTATGTCAACAAATCCTAGAAAAGCTTTTTATATCAATATTAATCATACAAAGCCTTTTTTAATATCAGCGTAACTTCTAAAGGCTTTCCTAACTATAAAACCTTTATCAATGCAGTTTCTAAATTTATTATGAGCCATATAAAGGTAATAACCAAAGCACAAGCAAGCAGCACATTGCAAAGTATGAATTAAAAAAAAACTATTGCTTTCTTATAAACCTGAAACTCTACAAAACAACATTAATGTTGTGGTGAGCCTTAAGTACACCCCTAGAGAATGTGAAATGTAATATCAGAGACAGAGAATGTCTGTACAGGGACACAGCCATTACAGGTTGGGGCTGCCTTTTCTGTGGCCTTAAGCAAGGGCTCATACCCTTCCTACCCTCCCCACTGTGTAAAACATCAGGAAGTGCAGTGATGAATAAGATCCATGCATAAGGCTTGTGATTCCTCATAGCCTCTTAAATTGGATTTTATCTTGCTGTTTTATCATATTTACTAGAGAAGATGCTCCAGGGCCAACAGAAGTGCAAATGCAATTATCATTCATCTACATCTTCCGTTCCATGTTGCGCTACTGTTCGTAATTAGATACTTGCCTGTTGGAGTTGAGCCCTGTACAGTTCTTGAACTGGCAAATGAAATGATACTACCACAAAATAATTTAAATTGGAAGGGGGTCACCTAGTCACCAACCCAAAGCATGTCCAACTAGAACAGGTTGCTCGGGACTTTGTCCAGTCATGTTTTGAACATCTCCAAAGAAGGAGATTTCACATCCTCTCTGGGCAACCTGTGCCAATTTTAACCATTCTCAAGGAGCAAATTTTTTTCCTAATATCTAATTGGGATTTCCCTTGTGCCTGTTGCCTTTTGTCTCACCACTGTCTGCCTCCTAAAAGAATCTGGCTCTGTCTTCTCTACCTTCTCTTCTAGGTAGTTATAGACAGTATTAAGGTCTCCCCTTAGCCTTCTCTTCTTAAGGCTGAAACAACCCAGCTCTTTCAGCCTCTCCTTGTATGTCCTGAGCTTTAGCTCCCTGAATGACTTAGTGACCCTCTGCCAGACTCATATGAGTCATGCATGCTCAGACAAGCAGCATGCAGTGCATTTGATAATGCTGGGAACCGGGAAGATTAAATACTCCTGCACACCAATAAATATTTAAGGAAAAGTAGAAAAGAACTTACTGTGTCCAGGCTTCCTAAAAGTAGAAAAAGACTCTAGAGAGGATGCATCCAGACTAAGAGTTTTTTGGTATTGTGAAAACTGAATGAGGTACCTTCTACTCTGATCTACAAGGACACCACTTGCATCAACCACTGCCAACTCCTACCTGATTTGATTGTAAAGAGAACAGAGAAGATGTTCAAGGAGCTTGCGGAGGCCTCTCTGGAGCATGGGAGAGTAGCTTAGAAACGTGAGTAGTCCTTGAGAGAAGAGAGAAGGAAATGGGTTTGGAGGGCAGGACTGAATGGGGTGCACACCAAATCTTGAGAGCATGGGGATATGCTCCCTGATCCACCATTTCTGGTGAAGCCTGAGAGACTTGTGTACAGTCTTGAGGTGACTAAAATGAATCTGGCTGCTACAAGGACGGTAATATGAATGGGCAGGGATGTGCAGTGGACAGTCTGAACAGGCAACCAGGGCTGCTGGACGGCATGCTTCAAATCTGCTCCTGGCCTCCTGACTTCCCCGCTTCAAACACTGTAGCCACAGGGATCACCAGCACCAGGATTACAGCCACCTAGACACTTTGAGACTCAGCCACAGATCCTTCCTGCCTGAGAGGGGAAATATCTCCCTCCTTGCACCCAGATACTGGACTGTGACAGTGATGCTCCAGATCCAAATCACCTCAAGGAGAAAAGGTTTCTCCTGTGGCCTCAGATCAGTCACAGGCCCAGTCAGAGCTTCTGCTCCCTTTTAGTGCTCCTTGCTGTGTTCACACCATTCAAAATGGTGTAAACATCTTGACGTTTTCATGATGGTTTCAGATGGTTTCAGACTCTGCATTTTGCACTTTCATCCCATCTGTTTGACTGTGCTTTAGGGACAATACAGCCACACTCTTATTTAGAGGCAAGCTTTGGTTTGCCAACTGGGAGACTACCTCTGACATACACGACACCAGGCATGAATAGATAAGGACCCAGCCAAGGCCTGTGGGCTTGGGTTTTCAAACAGATCATGCACTAAGACCTGTACTGAAAATTTACAGTGGTCAATCAGATAGGGAAAATCAAACAGTGCAAGCGCCACAGATTCCCCAGATCCATAACCCATAGTTTCCCTTCTGGTTGATTGGCATGCACTATTCTCATCGACATTCATACACCTGCACAGAACCAGCAAGGCCTCTATCCCTCCTCTTCCCGCTTGTCAGAAAGTCTCAAGCAATATGCCAAAACCTTTAGGCCCTTTCCTCAAAGTAGCTGTAGCTAAACATGTTCCTGGCAGTTGTCATTTAAGGGAGTTTGGGCTGTTGAAACTGTTCTGTACATCTTTGAGCTTCAGCCTGCCAGTTTCTCTCTTGTTTGCAGCCAGTGCAGGAAACAACATGCAGGCATAATCCAAGGCAGGCATGGCTCAGCAGCCTCAAGCCTTCTCTGTAGTGCTGGCCATCTACTCCCAAAAGCAAACTCCACTGTCTGGCTGCCTGTGTGGTAGTTTAACAGTTCTTAATGTGACACAACTGTCCTGCAAAAGATGTTGTCAGCCGAGGTGGTAAAGTGTGTGCAAAGTCTTCCAGGATAAGAGGAGGGGTAAAGGCACCATTAATATCCACATTATTGGTCACATTGGCAACGAACCTCTCTTCTACTTTTTTTTTTAATAGGAAGTGGTTGAAGACTCCTGATAATTCAAGTATCACAAATATGTTTGGGATAAGCCACAAAAATGCTGCTCTAAGGTCAAGACTACTGCTGGAGTGAGTGACTGCTTCCTAGCATGAAGGGGCAAAAAGGAGGCTTCAGTGGACTTGCTTCCAGTGTCTGCCAGTGCCTGTGAGTGCAGTTCAGGCCCTCTGTATTTGGGATCTTTAAAATATCACCAAGAAGAAATGACCTTTCTGTGTAGCCCAGAAGTGGTTGTTTTAGAGTCTTTTAGTGGGTTTTGAAGTGGAAAAACCAACAGTCAAAATGGAAGGATTATTTCCCTCTTTCCTTGTATGGGCTTCAGGGTGGCTGAAATCTGGAGGGATTTTCATCACTGTCTACTTGAAGTGAGAAACTGCAGGATTGCGCTCAGTAAAAATGCTCCAGTTCTCCAAGGTGTGGAGCAGTCATTTCTGCCTTCACTGTTGGCCAATCTGCGGCTGCTCTATGCCTGTGTGAAGCATGTTCATTCTGCATGTGTCTCCGTAGCAGCTGGCTTGTGGGTGTTCATAAAAAAAGTCACTTAAATGTGTAAAAAGAATGACAGGTTGATTTTGTTAAAGGAAACCCTCCCTTTTATTTTTTTCCCCTTACTCTCCCCTTAAGTGTAACTGTTGCATAGAGGTGTCTGGCTTGCATCGTAGTGTGTTGATGCATGGATCGTCCACTGAAAAAGAGCCATCCTTGCAATCAGAGTGGAACTTTGGCTTAGCACAGATATAGCCCCCTACTTTCCCTAAAAGAGTCCTTAAGCACAACAAGGCATTGTGCAGTCTATCAGCTTTTTAAAAATAAATTGTAATTTATCTGCCATGATCCCTGTGAAAAAGGCAGACCCCATTTTCCAGCACACAGCAGATTAAATGGCCACTGTGATATATGCAGATTCTTCTCTCTCTGAGTTCGTCTCAGCTAGCATTAGGTATGAGAAAATCCATATGGTACTATACATGGAGGTTCTTGTTATTATATTATTTTATTTTTCAAATATTTTCCAGTGTCCCCAGTTAAAACAGCGTTTTTATTGTGATGCATGTGATGCTTAAGAGGTGAAGCTGTTTCCTATTTGTTTTGATTTATGTCATTTCATTTAGGCTTAGAATTTTTAAGCAAGTTCTAACAGAATGCAGTGTTCACTAACATCTGGATGATTTTGTACATTTCTCAGCTATCTAAGCCTCATTATGACAGTTAATACTAATTCACCACGTTTCTGAGATTTTTACAGGTCATCTACAGCAATAGCATTTCTGCCCTTCAGTGGAATTAAGACTTTTAAAGTGTTTTTTACCAATGTAGGGTTACAGATATATTAAAAAGTTTTATAAATGTTGGGGTGAAGCTGGCTTATTTTGAGCCCCTGAAAGCCATTGCATTCTCACTTGGGTCCTGTGCTGTGCAACCCCCTTTCCCAAGGTCCTATTTAGTTTGCAGTATCTGTCTCCCTTCTCCCAGCAGAGGGCATGTCCCATCTGACAGCTGTGCTGGGTTGAGCCAAACTGTGCTGGGATTTTGTGCAAATTTAGGCACTCGGTGTCACTCCATTTTTTCTCTTAGCTCTGAAACTGAACACAGCACTCTGAATGCTGAAAGACCACTGCAAGTCCATCCGAAACCGATGATTATTGCCATTATTTAACATTTATGCTCTTCTACAACCTCAATGCAATGTTCTTTCTTCCAGAAGCTTAGATAAAACCATAACACTTATAGAAAATATTTTTGTACTGATTTTAGCCCTGAGCCTGTGTTCCAAGCCATCTGAATGGAGTTGTGAAACCTCCACACAGTGACTGTGGGCTGCTTTCAGAAATAGTGCTCAATCAAGTCATTGAACCTCTGCTGCTTAATAAGTCAAGATAGATCCAGTACTGTGCTGTGAAATGGTTCAGAAAGTGGGTAAACCATGACAGAAGTAAAGGTGATAGTAATAAAGGCCTTCGAAATGTCATGAGGACTCTGCTTTTCCAGAAGAGTTCATCTGCATCGTGCTATCCCTGTTCTCTTATGCAGGTGTGTTTCCTAGTACAGTAGATTCCAGATTAGGGCTCTTAGACTCTTCACTAAAAATTAATAGCAAAGAAATATCTTAAAAATCCAAGTACTCCAGAAAACAGTGGCTCCTTTCCAGTGACTGGCTTCATGTATCCTATTCCTGGAGCATGTGCTCCACGCACGCAAAGTAGACTAAGCGTCAGCAAAGTTACAAGGGCAAAACCTTCCTCAGAGAGACTGATGCACCAGAACAGGAGTCTAACGTCACCTCTGTGAACGGTCCCATGACCAGCCTCCCTAAGAAAGTGTTACTCTTTATGAATCCCTCTCTTAATGTCAGTTGGGATGTTGCTTTCATCCAGCCAGGCCTTTGCTTAGAGCTGTATAGAATATATTGTGCAGAGGTGTTGGATGACGACATATCCCTTCTTTTAAGGCTGTCCTTTATTTTTTGAGGTATTCCTGAGGGTGATTACTTCTTCCTTTTTCTGAGTCATCACTTCATTGGTTGCCTGAATAAAAGGTAGTTTGACTCAGTTCAACACCTGAAGAGTGCTGATAAACAATAAATTCATTAAGTCTTGTTTTCAGTGTAGAATTCAGCTGAAAGAAACCTAGGGCCTTAACAAAAGCTAGCTAAAAATCTCAAAAAATGCTTTTCTCCTTGAGCTGTGTTTAGACTTGAATGAATTGCACATCAATAGGAAGAGTTATGTGTTTGATCATTTTCCCATTGAACGTGTTATGAACATCTGTAAGGAACTTTTACTCAGGGGAAGAAGACTTCTGGAAATGTTTTCTTTTAGCCAACAAATACTTGCCACAAATGAACACTATATATTTCATTGCAAGGTGGGTTCAAGGTACAAAAAAAGTTTTTAAATATGATAACATGGCGGGTCTTTCTGGCAGGCCCCTGAGCACTCCCAGATAGACCCCCTCACCAGAGCTCTGTGGAAATTTTCATGCAAACTTAGTGGCTGTGTGAAAAGAGAACGATGAGCTGTTCTGAGCTGCTCTGCAGTGGCTGGAGGATTATTCTGTGTGCCAAAGCTCTAGAGAGGGAAAGCCTCTAAGCCCTGCAGTAGAACTTCGAAGACAAAAGTGCTCCCTTGGAGCTTAGCATAGCGACAAGGACTGAAGCACAACAGACACCTCAGGGGAAAACACTCTCAAATAATGTGAGGGACTCAATAAGATTCTGCTGGAAGTCTGCAGTGTGAAGAATGAAGAGACTGGTCAGAAGAAGACAAAGATCTGGGAATGACTGAGAGAAGCAGTGTGAGTAACAACTCCTCTGGAGGGAGTTCTGTTTGCTGTTTCATCTGTTTCATCTTCTCAGCTGCCTTGGTTGAAATCAAGTCATATATACTTGATCTCAGATGTTAAGATTTACAAGTACATGGCACATGCAGAAAGAGACAATCCTAAATTTCTCAGTCTCTATATGGATATATGTTCTACTCCCTATGAAATGCAAAACGGTGCACGGGAATGAATTTCCAGCAAAGCTGAAATCTACCTAAAAGAATTGCATTATCTGCAAGATAGCATTATCTGTGTACTCAGACTTTCAATATCTAAAGAAGATTAATTACATATATCATCAGGGAGTAAATACCAACAGCGTGGGACACTATATTTGGAGCTTATTGACTCAGTATTCAGAGGTGCAAAACTGATACAGTTGATCACCATCCAACTTTGTGCCCAAATATTGGTCCTGTATGCTTGGTTCATTGATTTATATCCCTGTGTGGATTGTGACCATGATAATGTCTTCAGTGATTACATTTCATCTGTAAGAAAAGATACTCCCTTGTTTCTAAAAAGATGCTTTGCAAATGATGGTATGAGTGACAATATGATTTTGAATTAGCCAATACAGATAGCTGGACTATTAGATGGAAGACATTGTAAATAGGGCAGATTAGAAAAATAATTGTACTTCTAGAAACGAAGCTTTTGAAACCTTTTCTTTATTTTCCTGCTAAAAAATTTGAAGCTACTAAAAACAAAAACACCATCGTGGCTGACACAGAAGCAAGAAAAGCATATTGTAGAGTACCCAATGTCTAGACTATCTGTAGGTCTTCATATAGCTATCACTTGATCATGACAGGAAATTAAATAATATTTAATTCTAAGATTCATCCATATTTAAAATAATACAGTGAAAAATACAGTGAAAACTAGAGTTATTGCCAAAATACATTAGTTATTTTTTCAACTGAGAAAGCAATTAAAGGGTTCATTGAAAAAGGCATACTTCCTTTTGTGGTCAGTGATTCCTCAGACCATTACATTTCAAAATGCTTTTCATAGCTTTTTAATAAATAGCTGAAAGGGAAATGCTCCATTGTATGAGTATCTTAAGTCAACAATGAAGCTGGAGGAAGAGAATGAATATTTACTTCCACCCAATTGCCTGTCTCCCATCATCAAAACCTCCAGTAGGCAGCTCATCTTTGACTTTGAAAGATCTGTGGCAAAATTATTCAATTACTTTTCCTTATCTACTAAAGGAATTCTAGAATTATCAGGAGATTATTGCTGAAAGATTCTAAAATTGCATGTGACTATCAAAAATAACCATTGTACGCTAGGGGAAGATTTCCTGGTAGACATCTTAAAGTTCTTAAAGAGTAACGTAAATGGAGATAATGATGAAGAGAAATAAGTACCTAACTACTAATTATGCTTCTTTCACAGTGTATTAAAAATGTTTATGATATATCCTTAAAATGAGAAACAACAGGCCTTGTATGCCTTCAAGCTTATGGCCTCAGGTGTTAATTTAAGGACAATTTACAGTGGTCAACTGACAAGCAAAAGAACTGTAGGATGGTTTAGGCACCTTTTAAAAAAATTTTTGATTTTCCAGGAAATCATAGCAGGCAAAGAAAGACGTCTGTATGCGGAATAGCATGTGTTGAGGTTCAGTGGAATGTGTGAGCCTGCTTCAGAAGTCTTGTCTTAGAAAAAGGTGCAGTGTTTTATCTTTGAAAAGTAGCTATCTCACTTTAAAAAGCTCCCCAGATATTATGGAGCTTGTTACCAGCTTTTGTACCTCTAATACCACAGTAGAAAAAGTATTTTTCTTGTGTAAACAGAAGCAAGCAGATTGCAGAAATGTACATTTGATTCTGCTAAGGTTGATCTTCAAATTAAACTAAATTTCAATTGTATGTACAAAAGCTTTTATTAAATGATTTAAAGAAAAAGATATATTGAAATAAATGATGTATTCAGATTGATATTGAGCACAATTTTAAAGAACGTTCAACTCAATGAAACCCTTTGCATTGTGTTTTCTGTACCACCTCTACGCAGACACCACCTCTTTAGTGTGTATCACTTAGATAAGAAGAACAGAAGAGAGTTAGATCTGAGTGCACGGCCTCTTTATATTACATATAGAAGGATGAAAGCTCAGCTTTATGCAATCTGACTAAAGACACTTAACTAGGACGTCTATGCACTCCAAGCCTAAGTCAATGAAGAAAGATCCAAGAGAGCGCTGAAGACAGACACCAACAACTACCAGCTTGTGCTTTTCTGCAGACTGCTGAAACATGAACTGCTTATTTATATATTAAAAAGTTAACACATTGCTATCAGTGAAACAAAGTTTGATTAATATTAGCGCAGCTAACAGATGCAGCGAACAGACGCAGCAGTTTGTACTGCAGCGTCTGGGCTCTGCTTGGGCCTTTTGTGGACCTTGTTGGAAGTTGTGGAGACTTTCTGGGGACCCCCGAAGAACTAGATGGTGCTTGCTGCTAACAGGAAAGCAGAGCTGGGCAAGGACAGCTGCAGCAGGCCTTAACTTCTCCTGGGAAGTTCTAGCTAGGTGTGGCTGCTGCTAACGAGCTCTCTGGGTTGCCCTGGTCCAGGTGGCTCTTGATTGGGTGGGACAGGCACCCTATGAGTCACTGCTAGGCAGAGGCCTATATAAGAGCCAGGCCTAGAGCACAGATCCCTGAGTGCAGTGAAGAGAGGCAGCAGTTGGTGCAGCAGGGTGCTGGAAGGCAAGATGGCACCTTCATTTCTCACAGTAGTGTGTGCTTCCTCAGGTATGGTCATGGCATGTTGTAGAGCACATTCTCCAGTGGCTGCTGGAGTTGCTACATCGCCTGTGTCTGAAGCTTGGACTCAGACAGACCCTCTGACAGTAGATGCAGCCCTACAGGTGTTAGGCTGCAGGGTGTGCCTAAGGCCTCGCCATGAGGCCTGGGCTGACAGTCGGCTCTCCTGCAGAAGGTGTGCTGTGGTTGATCAGTTTTGTTGTCAGGTAAAGGAGTTATGGGAGGAAGTCAGTAGGCTGGGTAGCATCTGAGAAGACAAGCAAGAGATAGGGTATTCTTGGAGACTGTGCTGCTCCAGGAGTCCCAACCTTCAACAGCAGTGGAGTTGCTGGAGGGCTCTGTACCATGTCAAATACTACATCGTAACACTGTAGAAGAAGGCTGGAAACTGGTCATACCTCATAGGAGGAAAAAGGCTCTTGTTCCTCCTCAAGACTTTCAATTGAGGAACAGCTTTAGTGTCCTCCCAGCTGAGGAGGAGCTGGGCATGGCTTCAAGGGAAGCAATTGGGCCACCAGACCCTGTGCCATGTGGGAACACCTTGAAGAAGTAGTAAGTGATTGTTGTCGGTGACTCCCTGCTGCAGGGGACAGAGGCACCTATCTGCTGACCTGACCTCTTGTCCAGAGAGGTTTGTTGCCTGCCAGGGGCTCAAATAAGAGATGTCAAGGAAAGACTGCTATGGCTTGTCCATGCATCAGACTATCACCCCTGCTGCTCTTCCACGTGGGTGTTAATGACACCAAGGGCAAATTGGAAACCATCAGACAGGATTTCAGAGCTCTGGGGGTGGTGGTGAAGGGTCTGGGAGCCCAGGTTGTTTTCTCCTCAATCCTGCCTGTGAGGAGGAAGGACAGGAGGAGGAGTAGATTTTTCCAAGTTAACAGCTGGCTGCGCCGCTGGTGTTGGCAACAGGGCTTTGGTTTCTATGACCATGGGACCCTGTTTGAAGATCAACAGCTGATGGGGAGCGATGGGATCCACCTTACCAAGCGGGGCACACATGTCTTTGCCAACAGATTGGCCAGCCTGGTAAGGAGGGCTTTAAACTGGGCAAGATGGGGGAAGGGGAGTGGTATAGTGGCAGGGCAGTCAGTAAAACACTGCTCAACTCAGGATGCCTCCAGTGGGTGCATGCAGCCAGGGGAGTGTGTATGGGACATGGCTATGGAGGATTCTCTTGCACCTCTCCTGAAAAGCCTACATGCTTGATTGCCTCTCTGAAATGCCTGTACCGCACTGCATGCAGCATGGGGAATAAGCAGGAAGAATTAGACGCT